TTGCTTGCTTGCTTGCGCGCTTACGACCATGCAAATCTTTCGATCGTTTTTTAACCCACTTCCCGTGATCCAATCGAGCTGACATTTTGCACACAGACTCGTTGTGCGTGATATTTTCGTGAAAATATTTTCCAAAATTTTACACTTTCTAGGATTTTTTTTTATATTTAATTACCAATTGCTTAATGGTGGCAGGCAATCATCTGACCCATAGGTGGCAGCCATCTCAAGCCAGAGGACGAGAGGACTCTAGCCGCCCGTTTCAAAGACCAATGTGGGCTGGGTTGTGGCCCATTGAACACGCATATAAAGGATTTATAGTGAAAAACTTTGTTTTTACGGGTTAATTTTTTCTTCTTTTGTTGTGCCCGGGGCAATCCCTCTCATTGGCGGTGGTCGCCGTTGCTGTCTGCTAGGCCAGCCGTCTGAAACCTGCGGCTCCGCAGACGCACGCGTCTCTTTAAGGGACTGCTTCGTGACTTTATTAAAGGACCACCCTTCTCTTATTCACATTGCATTGCGGCTCTTGAAATAGTGAGGGTGTTTTTTTCTTCAGAATTCCAAAAGAAATGCCTCTTTAACGACACATTTATCTTTACGCAATCTAACCCCCCCCCCCCCCCATTGATTATTGATAATGGCTCTTATCGTTATTTTGGTTGTCGGACATTGTGCTGGACTGGCGTGAACGACCTCTCCTTGATGGGCTTGCCCACGAGGTGGCGTCAAACCGATGCCCTTCGAAGCTCGCCTCCAGATCGCGGCCGCTTTGTGAGGCCCCCCACCCACCCACCCACCACTGTCTCCGGCAGGAATTCCATGGACCTCCCCGTGGCCCCGTAGGGAGTCGGGGAGGGCTTGTTAGCTTGGGTCCGGCGTGCGCAAACCAGTCGTGCGCGTGCCATGAAGAAGAGTCATTGCTCGAAACGTCGCCGATTATATTGTTTTCTGTTAAGGCGGTGTTCATTGAAAGGGGGGGGAGGGGGAAACCCAACCACACGCCTCTGTTGTCCATGATGGAGGTTTTTCGCGTTCGATCGCGTACATATCAATGTGTCGTTTAACCCGCCACCACCTGACACAGCCAATCAGTGAGGTTTGTCACGTAAACAAAACGTGACGATTCGTGACTGGTTCAGCGCACCGCTGTGTTGCAGGGTAAAGCCGGCAACATTTACAATCGGCGTACGACGTTTCGCCAGTGATTACAACAGGCATCATCAGGCGGACAGCCAGAGTTGTGTGTCGTGTTTTGCAGTCGGCGTGTCGTTGGACCAACGTTGCATTCTTGCTGGGAAGTGAACTTATACCTGCGCGCGTGTGTGTGTGTGGAGTGGGATAACTACGTAACGGGTGTATGCGTCGAAGGGTTGTGAATAGACGTGTGGAGGGTGAATACATTTTTGGAGGGTGTGGATTTATGTTGGCGCTTCCACCGTGGTGCCTGGTAGGGGAGCACAGCTGGTGTGGTGCATCTGCCGGTCATTTCAGTCAGCCGACCCACGGCATCTGCTGTGTCTGTGTCCCGAGACCTCCTGCCCAGCGAGCCTTCGACACTTCACGTGGCAGCCTCGAAGTGCACCTGGCCTGGTACAGGCTCCGTGGTGACGTCACCGTCACTTAGTGGCGAATGGCGAGGGTATTGCGTTATATTGGAGGGTCCGCGTTTAACGGTGTATGTGTGTGGTGGGGCGTATGCGTGTCGTGGTGAGCGTGCGTGATAAGCACGGGGATGTGTCGTGTGTGTGTATGCAGTTCTGCTTGTGTGTGGTGGGGTGTAGCGATTAGTGGGGAGCGGTAGTGTAGCGGTTATCGCGAATGGGCTCCGTACCCGGCCACACTAGTTGGATCCACGCTGACGGTCAACACCGGTGACGATTATCTGGACCGGACCTGGGCCTCCCCCTAGGTCGACTCAACCTCAAATAAGTACCTGGTGCGATGTGAAAACATCGCCACTGGGGAAACAAAGGCGGCCGGGGGTGGTATTGGCCACCCACCCTCTGGCTTGCCTCCCCACAGCCTGTCAAAAGCTCTACGATGATCTTTGCGCGTGAGTGTATGTGTGTATAGTGTGTTGCAGTTCTGTGCGCGCGCGGTGTCACACCACCATCAGACGGTGCTCACGGACCGTCACGGCGATAAGGGGGTTTCAGGGCTGGTCAGTGTAAATCTGATTTTTATTAAAGACAACAATCATTCATTCATTCATTCGAAGTTTAGTGTTTCCCCCCCTCTCCTCCTCTCTCTGCTTTGTCAATAAAGTAAGTTGGTTTTGCGTATACCTTCTCAAGATAACCCATTCCACAGCAAATGCCACGTGTATTATTGCCCCGGCGTTCAAAACAATCAATACACCGGCATTGGCAGGGGCCGAGTGATTTACAACGCGGGAAAAGAGCGAAACAAAAACGATGCCTTGCGAATTTAAAACTTCTGCAAATGTGGGAGGGGGAAAAATTACAAATCTGAAACCCGGAACAACCAGCAACTTCCGTTTGAGATTGTCCTCAAATTTTCGTACAAATTCCAAATATATATCTGTGTGTCCTGTGCATCGCGCTTAAAGAATCTCGGGTCAATACGAACGACACCAATCGATTGTTCAAGGCTGGCGCGCTGAAGCCGATATCGCTGGGAAGGTGGCACCTGCCCGTCGCTTTTACACAAAGACCAAATAACCCCCTCGCAGCCTTTCACAGACTGTTGGGGTAAGTGCTGTTAGCGAGCACGGAGGAAGGCCGGCACGGGGCGCCCATGGAGAAGGGGTGGGTGGACAACAACCTCGTCCTGCCACATTTATCCTCCTCGTGGCGATGTTTTACACACCGCACCAGACGCTCATTTGAGGCTGAGTCGACCTACGGGAGGCCCAGGACCGGATTGGATAATCGTCACCGGTAGTTGGCCGTGAGCGGGGAAATAGAACTCGGGTCGCCGGGTTCGTAGCGCGGCGCGCTAACCACGACACCGCCGCTCCCCCGCACGTTATAATGATCTGATAGACAAGAAGACGCGTAATGCACGGGGAAGAGGGCACAGGGCAGGTAAACTCGGAGCTCCGTGAAGTCAGGCACAGCGGTCAGGGTGGACGTCAACCGCATTCAAACAGTGGACGGTGACTGTGTGTGTGCGCGCGCGCGTGGTCAGGCACTGGCTTTCCAATTAGGGGGTCGTCTTCCTACGTTTTGGCACGAATAAGTTGTGATTTTTATTCGCGTAAAATCTGTTTGGAGAATCAATTAAGAGTCTATACCTTCGTTTTTTAAGTTTAACCTTCCTTTAAAAATCCCCCCCCCCAACCCACCACTTACGACATGTTTTTACATTACACGTGATGGGATTATTTTGTATTCTTCCTGGAATGCACCTTAACTCGGAAGCTACGCAGGCTGGAGGATGGATTCATTGCTTGGCTTGGTCTTCGTAGGTCGCGGGTGCGTGGTCACGTAGTGTGCGGCAGAGGGCAGCGCAAAGGAGACCGCCAATTGTGTTCTACGCTCTCCGCATTGACCAGCGTGGTGAAGTATGGTAACACACAAAAAACCGGCAAGACCCTCATCCGGCAAGTGAGATTGACGAATGGCCTGCAGGTTTAAATGTGTTTCTACCCCTCCCCCCGCCCCCTCTTGAATACTGACATTTAGAGCGATGAATACAAATGAGGAAACTTTTGTTTTCCTATGATGTAAGTGGAGGGCGGAAGGAGGCAATACCCCCTACCCCCCAAATTGGAAACCAGTCAGAGAAACGCGTAGTTTGCATTGCTCAAGCAACTTACACAACAAACAGCAAACAGCGACATTGCATTTTTGGGGACAAAGTCTGGGAGTAATTGGGGTTATTATATTTATATTTTTCTAATGTTAGTTTGTTGTTGTTGTTGCGGTTCTTAAATAAAAAAACAATTCGTGGAGTTAAAAAAAAGTCTTTCTCACTTCGCTTTCTGGAAGCCTTCTTAAAATGTGAGTTATATTCTCTTCTGTGTGTGTGTGTTCAATTCATAGTGCTCTTTTGAGGAAAGGCTGACTATACAGATACACGAGTAGTAGTCGTAGCAGCAGCAGCAACAGCAGCAGCAGCAGCCACGTGTCACTGTGAACTCCGCCACCACACTTTGCCTTTGTTCTCACACCGCATATGATTCATCTGCATAATTAATTATTCACTCGATATTCTCAGTCTCATAAAACGTCTCAGAGCGACGCTTTTTGTGTAATATCAATATATATTATATATCTTTAAAGACAGTGTTCTATACCTGTTAGGTTTACTCAAAAATCACGCGAGTGTGTGCAGGGGGGTGGGGGGGAGGGGTTCGAGTGTGAAGCGTGTGTGTCGGTGAGTGATTAGTCCTTTGTTCTCTTCACACAGAGTCCCGCCACGTATCGCCGCACGGATTTGAACAACAACAACAAAAGAAAAGGTTAATTTCCCGGCAGTACCAGACTCACGCTGCCCAGGTGTGGAGCTTGAGTTCGGCAGTGGGCTGGGTTAATGACCTGTACACGTGTGGACGTAAACAAAATACGGGGCGAGCACGCTCTGTACACGTGCACACAGTGGCTCCTGCACGCAGGGCCCAGCACTGCTGATGAATGCCCTCTGGGTTTTAACGCCATCGCTGGGGGATGGGAGGGGGTGGGGGGGGAGGATGGGGCACTTGACGCCCCAAAAGTGACAGGCGAACTACAAGGGCGACAGCCACCCAAACTCGAGCTCTAACCCTGAAGAGCAGCCCTTGCTCTAACTACACTTTTCAACCAGACTCTCGCCCTGATCATATCAGTATCAGACTAGCTACCTCGCCTACAAGACAATCCCTAACATCAACCACACTAAAGATTATCCCTACCTCTAGCATACCATCCAACCCGACCATCTCACTATCTGCCACCTTGACCTTACCTATGACCCCCCTCCCCCCTCCATCACCTCACTTCAGGCGTCTTAACCCAGCCCACTTTCACACTCTGCGTTCGCTTTTCACTTTGGGGCCAAACCCACGGCGCCCACGGAACCCCCGCGCGGAGTCATCTCGGCAACGATCACCGGCGAGAAGTGCAGGGCAACGGAGCAACGGGGACCGCCGCCACGCGGATCCCGCACGGAGAGACGGGGAGCCATCGGCGAGTTCACTGCGCGGTCACTGAGCCCGCGAGGCCGCCGTGGAATTTGCGCATGTGCCGGTACAGGTCCCCCGACTGCGTGAAGCGCCGCTCGCACCACTTGCAGGCGTGCGGCTTCTCGCGCGTGTGCACCACGGCGTGGCGCGTCAGGTTGTGCGAGTACTGGAAGCTCTTGCCGCACGTGGCGCACGTGTAGGGTTTCTCGCCCGAGTGCGTGCGTTCGTGCCGCCGCAGCGTGTACGCGCACGAGAACGTCTTCCCGCACGTGGCGCACGTGGGCACGTCCCCTTCGGCCCCGCCGAGGGCCGGCGGCGAGGCCTCCGCGATGCCCACGGGCCCCGGCCCGAACGGCGCCGCGCCGCCGGGACACGCGCCCGACAGAGGCGGCGGCAGCGGCGGCGGGGGCGGCGGCAGGGGCGGCTTGACCTTGCCGTTGCCATGGGGCTGCAGGCCGTGCGGGCCGCGGTGGCCCGCCACGCGTTCCACCTTGGGCTCCGCGCGGCGCTCGCTGAAGTGCAGGCTGAGGTGGATCTGCAGAGCCTGGGGGCACGGCATGGCCTGGCCGCACAGGGGGCAGGCGAACACCAACCCCGCCGAGCCCAGCAGCGGGCCGCCGCCCTCGCGCAGCGACAAGGGCAGCAGCAGCGCCTCGTCCTTGAAGCGGAAGTGGCCCAGGGACGCGGGCGGCTTCATCTCTGGCTCCATGCCCTCGTCCGAGCTGCCCACGTCGTCCTCGTGGTCCAGCTCGCTGGAGGTCGAGGGAACCTTCTCCGAGAGCTCGCAGCTCACGCCGCTGGAGCGGTGCGACGAGTTGCTCGCGAGGTCGTCCGCTCTCCTCGCCGGGTCCTCGTCCGCGTCGCACATCTCCTCGTCGCAATCTCCTCCTCGCTCCTCCTGCAGCAGGGAGGCCCTTTGCCGAGACAGCAGCGGCGGCGGCGGCGGTAGCTGTAACAGCTGCGGCGGCAGCCGCTTCCCTTTCACCTAGGCCCGTGTGCCCCGGGAGGTCGGGGTCGCACGCCCTCGCCGCCGCAGATGCCGGCTTGACTGACAGGTCGAGCGCGCTCTCACCGAGGCCCTTAATTGAGATGCCAGAGCCGCCGCGCAACAATGGAGCCGTTGACGCCGTTTTCCCAGCTGCCGCGCCGTACGGCGCTGCCCTCGCCGCCAGACGGCTGCCACCGCCGTGAGAGCCACCCTCGGCGACGCTTCGCACGCTGCTCACGCCCTCGTCGCCGCACACAGCCGCCAACACCATCTCCTCCTCCTCCCCCGCCTCTATCTTCACGCAGATGTTCTCCGGACACGGCCGGGGGCACCGCTCTGGCGCAGGGACCCCGACCCCGTCGCCACGTCCTCGGAGCCTCTGCTTGCACACCTTGACGATGTCGTACATGTGTAGGTAGCTGGCGGCCGCCAGCACGTCCTCCACGGGCAGCCCGTCCACGCGCAGGCGGCCCTCGTACATGAACTCGAGCAGGGCCCCGAACGCGGGCGCCGTCACCGCGTCCCCGTTCAGCCGCACCACGAGCCCCGCCGCGGACTCCGCGGGGGGCCTCGGGACCCCCCCGGAGATCGACGCCACCGCCGTCGCCTCCGCCGCGTCGCCCGCCGTCTCCTCCTGCTCCTCCTCCTGCTCCCGCTCCCCCCCCCTCTCCCGGCCTCGGAGGCCGAGGTGGTCGCGGAAGCCACGTCGGGGCCTCTCGTCGCGGTAGAAGAGGTGGAAGTAGCCGCTGCAGGAGGCGAGCACGGCACGGTGCGCTCGGAACTCGGAGCCGCCCACGAGCACGGTGCAGTCGCACAGGAAGCCCTGCAAGCGCTGGCGACTCAGGCACTGGAGCAGCTGTCGGCTGTGCTCCGGGAACTCCATCGCGGGACCAGCATCACGGGCTGCGGGGAGCGATGGGGGCGGTGGCAGAGGTCGCAAACGGGTTTTGATTCCTTACCCGTACTTGTACCCGGCCGCACCAGGGTGGCAAATGGGTACCCGTACCCTACCCGAAATGAGTGACAAACGGTTACTCACCAGTGACTCACGGCCTACCCGTACCCGTACCCGGCCGTACCAGGGTCGCAAACGGCTACCCGTACCTGTACTCGGCCGGGTACGGGTAGCCGGGTATCGGGTATCGGGTACCCGGTTGCGACCTCTGGGCGGTGGTGGTGGTGTGGTGGTGGGGATTGGTGGTCGTGGTGGTTGTAGCGGTGGCGCAGAGGATGGTGATGGGAATGGTGGTGGTAGTGGTGGTGGTGATAGTGGCGTTTTGTGGTGGTGGAGGTGGTGGATGTTGTTGGTAGTAGCGGTGGTGGTGAGGAGAAGCAGGTCGTGTCGGCACCAACAGTCGTGGGTTAGCACTCGAGCTCCGGCCACGTGCAACGCACGCGACCCCACGGAGATCATCGCACGCGCGTTTGTTTTGAAGTCTCGGCTCACGAAAAAACGCGAACGCACGTGTCCATTCAACGCACAGAGGCGTGCTCACGTACAGACGGACACGGGCACAAACACACGCACGCGTCCATACACGCACACGTGCATAAGATGCGTATGCAGACACACATACATAAAGATACATACACACGTTCGTACATAAAACACACACTTACGCATATGCACACAGGAACATAACCCAGACACGCGTACAAACCCATGAACAATATTTTTCAGCCACTCTCAATCCACGGCTAGAGTCACAGACCCATTAAAAGGCACGAATATAAAGGCACAAAGATGAAGGCAAAGAGATCCCTTACATCCACCACACACACCGCTGTGCGAGTGCCGTCAGCGAGCAGACACATACACTCATACACATTCACAATGCACACACACACACGTGCAGCGAGACGTTCTGGACACCGACTATTCATCTAACGCGACGCGTAGGCACAAGAGGCGAGCTGAAATGGAGACATACAGAGAGAGAGAGGGAGGTGGGAACAGCTGATGAGGCTGATGATGATGATGCCAGATGGCGGCAGTTGCGGTGCAGATAAACGCGCCCGGACGCATTAACGCGAGCGCTCATCCCAGCTAAAGCATCCACACCTCCTTCCCAACAACAACATCGCCAGCAACAACATCATCGCCAGCAACAACATCATCGCCAACATCATCAGCAGCAGCAGCAACGCGCGCGGGCGCGATAGCGCGGGCACGCGCATTAGTAACAGGTACGACCAGTGTCGCCTGCTGATGCTGCGAGTTAATTCATGGGGTGTGCGTGTGTGTGAGTGTGTGTGCCTGCCTGCACGTGTGTGTGCATGTGTGAGTGTGTGTGTGTGCATGTGTGTGTGCATGTGTGTGCATGTGTATGTGTGTGTGCATGTGTGTGTGCATGTGTGTGTGAGTGTGTGTGTGTCTGTGAGTGTGTGTGAGTGTGTGTGAGTGTGTGTGCATGTGTGTGTGCATGTGAGTGTGTGTGTGAGTGTGTATGTGTGTGTGTGAGTGTGTGTGTGTCTGTGAGAGTGTGAGAGTGTGTGAGTGTGTGTGCGTGTGAGTGTGTGTGTGTGCATGTGAGTGTGTGTGCGTGTGTGTGCGTGTGTGTGCATGTGTGCGTGTGTGTGCATGTGTGTGTGCGAGTGTGTGTGTGAGTGTATGTGTGCATGTGCGTGTGTGAGTGTGTGTGTGCATGTGTGTGTGTATGTGTGTGTGCGTGTGTGCGTGTAAGTGTGCCTGTGTGTGTGTGAGTGTGCGTGTGAGTGTGTGTGTGAGTGTGTGCGTGTGTGTGTGTGCATGTGAGTGTGTGTGCGTGTGTGTGCATGTGTGCGTGTGTGTGCATGTGTGTGTGCGAGTGTGTGTGTGAGTGTATGTGTGCATGTGCGTGTGTGAGTGTGTGTGTGCATGTGTGTGTGTATGTGTGTGTGCGTGTAAGTGTGCCTGTGTGTGTGTGAGTGTGCGTGTGAGTGTGTGAGTGTGTGTGTGAGTGTGTGTGTTGGCGTAAGTGGGGAGCGGTTTCTGCGCAGCGCTACGACGCCGGCGACCCGAGTTCGATTGCCGCTCATGGTCAAACACCAAGTGACGATTATCTGCACCGGTCACTGGGCCTCCCCTAGGTCGATTCAGCCTCAAATGAGTACCTGGTGCGATGCCTAAAAATGTCGCCACTAGGGAGACAAAGGCGGCCGGGCGTGGTGCTGGCCACCCACCCCCTCGTGTGCCGTACCGGCCTTCATATGGGCTCGCTAGCTGCACTTGCCCCAACAGTCTGTTAAAGGCTATACGGGGGATCTTTGTCTCTGTTGGCGTATGTAGGGAGCGGTGGCGCTCAGGTTAGCGCACTGCGCATCGAACCCGGCCACCCGAGTTCGATTCCCGCTCACGGCTAACACCAAGTGACGATTATCTGAACCGGTCCTGGACCTCCCCTAGGTCGACTCAGCCTCAAATGAGTCACCCGTTGCGGCGTGTGAACATCGCCACCGGGGAGACAAAGGCGGTCCGGGCGCGGTGTCGACCACACCGCCGCATCGTGCGCAGTGCCCAGCCCTTGAATGTGCTCGCGAGCGGCACTTGGCCCAAAAAGTCCGCTGAGGCTACCCGGGGGACCTTTGTCTCTGCCTCTGTGAGCTGGCTACAGAGAGCCGCGAGTTAATGACAAACAGCGCAGAGCGGCGCGCCGAGCTCGCGTTCAGCGGCCACTCAAACTCTGTACCGGGCACACACCCCGTGTACACACACCCCGTGTACACACACCCCGTGTACACACAGACTACACACCCCGTGTACACACCACGTGTACACACAGACTACACACCCCGTGTACACACACCCCGTGTACACACCCCTGTACACACAGACTACACACCCCGTGTACACACACCCGGTGTACACACCCCGTGTACACACAGACTACACACCACGTGTACACACCCCGTGTACACACAGACTACACACCACGTGCACACACCCCGTGTACACACACCCCGTGTACACACAGACTACACACCCCGTGTACACACACCCCGTGTACACACCCCGTGTACACACAGACTACACACCCCGTGTACACACACCCGGTGTACACACCCCGTGTACACACAGACTACACACCACGTGTACACACCCCGTGTACACACAGACTACACACCACGTGTACACACCACGTGTACACACAGACTACACACCAGGTGTACACACCACGTGTACACACAGACTACACACCACGTGTACACACAGACTACACACCACGTGTACACACCACGTGTACACACAGACTACACACCCCGTGTACACACCCCGTGTACACACAGACTACACACCCCGTGTACACACACAGACTACACACCACGTGTACACACACAGACTACACAACCCGTGTACACAACCCGTGTACACACACACAGACTACACACAGACTACACACAGTCTACCCCGTGTACACACAGACAACCTAGATACAGCCTACCCCGTGTACACACAGCCTACCCCGTGTGTACCAGGCACACACCCCGTGTACTCGCCATCCTAGCATTTGATTCACCACGCACCACATTCCGTGTGACCACCACCAGGACCACCGCCACCAACATCCCGTACACACACACACACAGTCTACCCCGTGTACACACACACAGTCTACCCCGTGTACACACACACACAGTCTACCACGTGTACACACAGACTACCCCGTGTACACACACACAAAGTCTACCACGAGTACACACACACAGTCTACCCCGTGTACACACACACAGACTACCCCGTGTACACACACAGTCTACCCCGTGTACACACACACAGACTACCCCGTGTACACACACAGTCTGCCCCGTACACACACACAGTCAACCCCGTGTACACACACAGTCTACCCCGTGTACACACACAGACTACCCCGTGTACACACACACGCAGTCTACCCCGTGTACACACACACAGTCTACCTCGTGTACACACACACAGTCTACCCCGTGTACACACACACAGTCTACCACGTGTACACACACACAGTCTATACATACACAGTCTACCCCGTGTACACACACACAGTCTACCCCGTGTACACACGCACACACAGTCTACCCCGTGTACACACACACACACAGTCTATCCCGTGTACACACACAGTCTACCCGTGTACACACACACACAGTCTACCCCGTGTACAAACACACACAGTCCACTCTGTATACACACACACACAGTCTACCCCGTGTACACACACACAGTCTACCCCGTGCACACACACACAGTCTACCCCGTGCACACACACACAGTCTACCCCGTGCACACACACACACAGTCTACCCCGTGTACACACACACACAGTCTACCCCGTGTACACACACACACACACAGTCTACCCCGTGTACACACACACACACAGTCTACCCCGTGTACACACACACAATCTACCCCGTGTACACACACACACAGTCTACCCCGTGTACACACACACACAGTCTACCCCGTGTACACACACACACAGTCCACCCCGTGTACACACACACACAGTCTATCCCGTGTACACACACAGTCTACCCCGTGTACACACACACAGTCTACCCCGTGTACACACACACACAGTCTACCCCGTGTACACACACACAGTCTACCCCGTGTACACACACACACAGTCTACCCCGTGTACACACATACACAGTCTACCTCGTGTACACACACACAGTCCACCCCGTGTACACACAGACTACCACGTGTACACACACACACACACACAGTCTACCCCGTGTACACACACACACACAGTCTACCCCGTGTACACACACACACAGTCTACCTCGTGTACACACACACACTCCGCTCACCCTACTACAACGCCTGCGTGTGCCACCCCGGCAGCAGCAGATTTCGTGGAGCAGTCGCCTAGCACCGCGTACCAACCCCCGCCTTGTACCACCCTGCCCACGCGTACCCATCCACAGCGCGTACCAGGACCCAGCGTACCACCCCCCCCACCCACCTTGTGCCACCCTACCCACGTGTACCCATCCACAGCTCGTACCAGGACCCAGCGTACCAACACCCCCCCCCACCCACCTTGTGCCACCCTGCCCACGCGTACCCATCCACAGCGCGTACCAGGACCCAGCGTACCCCCCCCCCCCCCACCCACCTTGTGCCACCCTACCCACGTGTACCCATCCACAGCTCGTACCAGGACCCAGCGTACCAACACCCCCCCACCCACCTTGTGCCACCCTGCCCACGCGTACCCATCCACAGCGCGTACCAGGACCCAGCGTACCCCCCCCCCCCCCACCTTGTGCCACCCTACTCACGTGTACCCATCCACAGCTCGTACCAGGACCCAGCGTACCAACACCCCCCCCACCCACCTTGTGCCACCCTACCCACGCGTACCCAGCCACAGCGCGTACCAGGACCCAGCGTACCAACACCCCCCACCACATTGTACCACCCTGCCCACGTGTACCCATCCACAGCTCGTACCAGGACTCAGCGTACCCACCCCCCCCCCACCTTGTACCACCCTGCCCACGCGTACCCATCCACAGCTCGTACCAGGACTCAGCGTACCCCCCCCCCCCACCCACCTTGTACCACCCTGCCCACGCGTACCCATCCACAGCTCGTACCAGGACCCAGCGTACCAACACCTCCCCCCCACCACTACCACCACACACAGTGCTACCCAGGCAGGCACCCGGCTCTGCATACCTGATCCTGGCGGCTGCTGCTGCAGTTGCGTCTTCTCCCCTCCGCCTCTCTGGTCCGGCCCGGCCCGAGTCGCGACAACGCAGCAGCAGCAGCCGCAGCTGCAGCAGCAGCAGATAGAATAAGAGTGTCGATGCAGCGTTCGCAGAGCGCCGGGGCAACAAGCGTGCTGCTGCTGCTGCTCCTGCTGCTGCTTGTGTAGAATAAGCGGCGGCGGCGGCAGTAGCAGAAGCAGCAGCGGCGGCAGCAGCAGCAGGAGGAGGAGGTAGAAGCAGCAGCAGCAGCAGCGAGTCTGGCTGGCAGCTGCTCTGACATCACGGCTCCCCTGCCCGGGAATGCTCCCCTCCAGCTGCGCGCCGCCTCCCGCGCCATATGGCACCGCGCTCTCCTCGGAACCCCCCTCCGCGCGCGACCCGCGGAGCCCGCAGCGTGGCAAGCGTTGGGTGTGTGTGTCTGTGTGTGTGTATGTGTGTGTGTCTGTGTGTGCACGCGGCTCGTGTGTGTCTGTGTGTGTGTCTGTGTGTGTGTGTCTGTGGGAGTGTGTGTGTGTGTGTATGTGTGTGTGTCTGTGTGTGCACGCGGCTCGTGTGTGTCTGTGTGTGTGTCTGTGTGTGTGTCTGTGTGTGTGTGTCTGTGGGTGTGTGTGTGTATGTGTGTGTGTCTGTGTGTGCACGCGGCTCGTGTGTGTCTGTGTGTGTGTCTGTGTGTGTGTGTGTCTGTGGGGGTGTGTGTCTGTGTGTGTCTGTGTGTGTGTGTGTCTGTGTGTGTGGGTGTCTGTGTGTGTCTGTGGGTGTGTCTGTGTGTGTCTGTGTGTGTCTGTGTGTGTGTGGGTGTGTGTGTCTGTGTGTGTGTCTGTGTGTGTGTGTCTGTGTGTGTGTCTGTGTGTGTGTCTGTCTGTGTGTCTGTCTATGTGTCTGTCTGTGTGTGCCTCTGTGTGTCTCTCTCTGAGTGTGTGTGTGACTGTGACTGTGTGACTATTTATCTGTGTCTGCCTGTGCGTCTGCGTGTGTGTGTCGTGGGTGTGTGTATGTGACTGGTGTGTGTGTGTGTTTATGTGTGTCTCTGTGTGTGTGACTGGTGTGTGTGTGTGTGTATGTGTGTGTCTCCGTGTGTTGTGATGCTCTCCAGCAGCACCAACAGTCTACAACATCTATACGGGGGGGGGGGGGACGTTGTCTTTGTGTCTGTCTGTGTGTGTCTCTATGTGTGTCTCTATGTGTGTGTCTGTCTCTGTGTGTCTGTGTGTTTATCTATGTGTGTGTCTGTCTGTCTGTGGGAGTCTGTGTGTGTGTCTGTCTGTGTATGTATGTGTCTGTGTGTGTGTGTGTTTGTCTATGTGTGTGTGTCTGTCTGTGGGAGTCTGTGTGTGTGTCTGTGTGTGTGTCTGTGTGTGTGTGTCTGTGTGTGTCTGTGTGTGTGTGTCTATGTGTGTGTCTATGTGTGTGTGTCTGTGTGTGTGTCTGCCTGTGGGAGTCTGTGTGTATCTGTGTGTGTGTCTGTCTGTGTGTGTCTGTGTGTGTGTTTGTGTCTGTGTGTGTGTCTGTGTGTGTGTGTGTCTATGTGTGTGTCTATGTGTGTGGGAGTCTGCGCATCTGTACGTAGGGCGCTACCTTGTGTCGCCACCCCCATTGTGAGGCTTCAGTCGCTGTGGGACGTGGAATGCGTGACCTGTGCGGTGAGCGTGGTGGCAGTGATTGTTGGGGGGGTGGCGGTGGTGGATTAATGGGTGATGGACGCGTCCTTGTGGGGCAGCTGCAAGTGCAGCTGCGGTAACAAGAGGGACACAGAGAGAAGGTGGTGGCGGAGGAGGAGGAGGGAGGAGGATGGGGTTGGGAGAAGGGGCAGATTTCTAGGACGGCAACAGCAGCAGCAGATTAAAGACGCGTGGGTTTATTTGTCTTGGGCAGCGCGAGGAATGCCCGTGGTAGGTCGCTTCGTTTGCCTGCGTCGCAATAACCCCCCCCCCCAATCCACCACCACCATCACCACCACCACCACGTGTGTGTGAGGCCGTGCTGTCACGCACGGAAGGAAGACGTCGCACTTACAACACGTGTCACCTCTCTCGAGCATACTTACTTTTTATTACGATCCGCCACCACCACCGCCGCCGCCGCTACCACAACTACCACCGCGATGTCCTGATTATAATACGCATTGCCACCACCACCACCACCGCTACACGTAAAGCCAGACTTGTCCTATACTCCAGGTAGGTGGTTTGTGTGTGTGCCATTAGTGGTTTTTTATTATTTTATTTTTATTTATTCACTTTATTTTTTTCTATCTACGTGACTTTACGGAAAGAACCAAATCACATGTGTGGTGTGTTTTTGAGACAATATAAAACGTTAATTAGAATTTGTATTTTTACTGGAGGAATCCGATGAGCTATTAAGCTCTTTTTCCACAGATACCCAGGCACACGTTTTGGTGGGGGGGGGTCTTATAATCCAGGAAAATATCTGCTGATGCTACGACTACTACCGATAACCAGCGAGTTTGTAAAGGTGTGGGAGTGAGTGTGTGTGTGTGAGTGTGTGAGAGTGTGTGTATGAGTTTGTGAGTGTGTGAGTGAGTGTGTGTGAGTGTGTGTATGAGTGTGTGTGTGTGAGTGTGTGTGCGTGTGTGAGTGAGTGTGTGTGTAAGGGTGTGTGTGAGTGAGTGTGTGAGTGAGTGTTAGAGTGAGTGTGAGTGTGTGTGTGAGTGAGTGTGTGTGAGTGTGTGAGTGAGTGTGAATGAGTGTGAGTGAGAGTGTGTTTGTGAGTGAATGTGTGTGTGAGTGAGTGTGTGAGTGAGTGTGTGTGTGAGTTTGTGAGTGAGTGAGTGTATGTACGAGCGTGTGAGTGAGAGTGTGTGTGAGTGAGTGTGAATGTGTGTGTGAGTGAGTGTGTGTGTGAGTGTGTGTGTGAGTGCGTGAGTGTGTGAGTGTGTGATTGAGTGAGTGTGTGAGGGTGTGTGTGAGTGAGTATGTGTTGAGTAAGTGTGTGAGTGAGTGTGAGTGTGTGTGAGTGCGTGAGTGAGTGTGTTAGTGAGTGTGTGAGTGAGTTGTGAGAGAGTGTATGTGCGAGTGTGTGAGTGAGCGAGAGTGTATGTGCGAGTGTGTGAGTGAGCGAAAGTGTGTGTGTGAGTGGGTGTGTGTGAGTGTGTGAGTGAGTGTGTGTGAGTGTGTGTGAGTGTGTGAGTGAGTGTGTGTGTGAGGGTGTGTGTGAGTGCGTGTGGTGTGTGAGTGTGTGAGAGTGTGTGTGTGAGTGTGTGTGAGTGTGTGAGTGTGTGTGAGGGTGTGTGAGTGAGTGTGTGTGTGAGTGTGTGAGTGTGTGTGAGTGTGTGTGTGAGTGTGTGTGAGGGTGAGTGAGTGGGTGAATGTGTGGGTGAGTGAGTGAGTGTGAGTGAGTGTGTGTGTGAGTGAGTGTGTGTGAGGGTGTTTCGCCGGTTGGAAACATTTAGGCTGGCCTGCCTACGATCCATCCTGGGTTTAACCAGGCTGGATTGTGTGAGGAGCTCACAAATCCTTGAAAGATCTGGTCAAAGTCCCATCGGTGAGCTCCTCCGGCAGGCAAGGCTGCGTTGGCTGGGTCATGTAGCCCGCATGCCCAGCCACCGCATGCCTAAACAGCTTTTGTTCGGCCGGATCGAGGGGGCTAGACGGGCGCGGCACGGGCTGGAGAAGAGATGGAGTGATGTGGTACAGGAGGACGTGCAGCTGAGTGGACTTGCCGATGACTGGTACCAGCGGTGTCAAGATCGGCCTCTGTGGAGGAGGCTCGTGAAGGACGCTATTGGGCAGTTGGAGGCAGTCGCCCTCCAACAACAACGGAGGGCGGAGGTGCGACGCTCACAACAACGAGCGGAGCGCCGGGTGGCTAAAGCACAGCAAGTTGGTACAGTAGGGGGCACAGGTGGTGCATCAGCCAGTCATCTCGGTCATCTCGGTCAGTCGACCCGTGGCACCTGCTGGGTCTGCCCCGTGACCTCCTGCCAGCGGGCGTTCGACACTTCACGTGGCCTCAATGTGCACTTGGCCTGGCACAAGCGTCGTGGTGACGTCACCGCCACTTAGTGGCGAATGGCGGTTGTTGTTGTTGTGAGGGTGTATGAGTGAGTGTGTGTGAGTGAGTGTGTGTGAGTGAGTGTGTGGGTGAGTGTTTGAGTGTGTGCGTGAGTGTGTGTGAGGGTGTGTGAGTGTAAGTGAGTGTGTGTGAGGGTGTGTGAGTGAGTGTGAGTGATTGTGTGTGAGTGTGTGTGAGGGTGTGTGAGTGAGTGTGAGTGAGTGTGTGTGTGTGAGTGTGTGTGAGGGTGTGTGAGTGAGTGTGAGTGAGTGTGTGTGTGCGAGTGAGTGTGTGTGTGAGGGTGAGTGAGTGGGTGAATGTGTGTGTGAGAGAGTGTGCAAGTGAGTGAGTATGTGTGCGAGTGAGTGTGTGTGCGAGTGTGTGTGTGAGAGATTGTGCGAGTGAGTGTGTGAGAGTGTGTGCGAGTGTGTGTGCGAGTGAGTGTGTGAGTGTGTGTGAGTGTGTGTGCGAGTGAGTGTGTGTGCGAGTGAGTGAGTGTGTGTGAGTGAGTGTGTGCGTGCGAGTGTGTGTGTGTGTGAGTGTGTGTGCGAGTGAGGGTGTGTGTGAGCGAGTGTGTGTGCGAGTGTGTGTGTGAGAGAGTGTGCAAGTGAGTGTGTGAGAGTGTGTGTGAGTGTGTGTGAGTGTGTGTGCGAGGGAGTGTGTGCGAGTGTGTGTGAGTGTGCAAGTGAGTGTGTGCGAGTGTGTGTGAGTGTGCGAGTGAGTGTGTGTGTGAGTGTGTGTGAGTGTGTGAATGTGTGTGAGTGAGTGTGTGTGTGAGTGTGTGTGTGAGAGAGAGTGTGCGAGTGTGTGTGTGAGTGTGTGCGAGTGTGTGTGAGTGTGTGAGTGTGCGAGTGAGTGAGTGTGTGAGTGAGTGTGTGTGAGTGAGTGTGTGTGCAAGTGAGTGTGTGAGTGTGCGAGTGAGTGATCTTTGCGTGCCACATCGACGTGGCCGCTGTACATTAATATAACGATCGCCAGGGAGGAGGGACAATGGGTCGTTGTTCCAACGCCACCGACGACTGCCGCTGTGTACACGGCGACGAGACTTTAACCGGATTGGGACTCGCGGGTTGATCATCCCGAGCGAACGGTGAGAGGGGAGAGGAGTCCAGGAGCGGGTTGATCATCTCGCGGGTTGATCATCTCGCGGGTTGATCATCTCGCGGGTTGATCATCTCGGGTGAATCGCGCTCTCGGCGGTGTGCGGCTGTGGGCTGAGCCGGCTCACTGGGGGGCGGGGGGAGGGGGGCGATGGGAGAGGGGGAGGGGGGGTGGGCGGGGGGGGGGGCGATGGGAGAGGAGGA